GAAGTGGAAAAAATAAGAACCAAGATACTCATGTACAGGTACAAGATCCCAATGATGAATGTCACTGTATTTTATATGTAAAATGTACCAATAAACAATGGGGAAAAGAAAGAATACACTTTCAGTCTTCTACATATAAATTTACAGTATGCTAAGCACCATTTGGTAAAGAGGCTGTGTTTTTTCCAATATATGTTTTTGGATTCTTTGTCAAGAATCAGATGACTATAGTTGCATAGGTTTGTTTCTGTATCTTGTGTTCCACTGATCTGTGTCTATTTTTGTGGCAGTACTATGCTTTTTGTTACTGTGCCTTTGTATTGTAATTTCTAATGAGGTATAATATATGGTAATGAGGCCGTAGGTTACCTTTGAATCCTACCACTTTGGTGAATTTGTTCATCAGATTTAAACATTTTCTGGTGTAAGTCTTAGGATCTTCTAGGTAAAAGATCATAGTATATGCAAATAATTTGACTTATTTTTTTTCCTATTTGTATCCTTTTCTTTCTCTTGCCTAATTTTTAGCAGTTGTTTCTTGACATATTTTTCTGCACATCAGCTTTTCTTCTGTAGCACTCTAATTACATTAGATGGCTTGACATTGTCCTATAGATCTTTTTGTTTTTTCTTCATTCTTTATTATTTCCATGCTTACTTTTGGGCAGTTTCTATTGCTTGTCTTCAAATTCATTGCTCTTCTCCAGTGTCTCATTCTGTCCACCCATCTAGTGTATATATCAATATATGAGTTGCCTTTGATTGCATTTCTAGAAGTTCCATGTGATTCTTTTAAATACCTTTGATTTTTTTTACCCCATCATATTCATATTTTATAATGTGAAGCTTATGCATAGTAGCTGTTTAACATTCTTATGATAATTATATTGTTCTTATCATTGCTGGGTCTATATCCATTTATTAAGTTTTCTTCTGATGATGGTTCATAGTTTTGTACTTCTTTTCATGCTCGGTATTTTAATTTTTTGTTGACTATTGGATATTGTGAAATTTACAGTGTTATATGATGGATATTGTTTTATTCTTTTAAAGAGTATTTGACTTTTTTCTGGCACTGAGGTAAATTATTTGGGATCAGTTTGACCCCTTTGAAGCTATCTTTTTAGCTTTATAAGATGTGTACAGGGCAGCTCATAAGTTAGGACTAATTTAGACCAACTACAGTGGTGCAGTACCCTTCTGAGGCCTCTTACCCCATATATCTTACGAGGGCTTTCCCCTTAGCTGGTAGAAGCAGAAACTGTCCTCGTCCTGTTTGTCTCTGTGAGGTGTTGGTCCACTGTTTGCTGGTGATTCTTTCCCCAGCCTCACACAGTTTCCTATATCTACCACATCCCCTTAGCCAAAGACACACACGGACTTGTAGATACTGCCACTTACTGACTATACAGCTCCCTCCTTCCTCTAGTGCTTGAAAATTCCAGACACGTTGATCTCCATGCACTTCCGTCTTTATCTCTTCAATGCAGTAAGAATATTGGGCTCTGTTGTTTTCTCTGCCCATCTGATATCTGTCTCTCCTGTCTGGAAATTGCTTGCAGGCAATAAGTTGGGGTAATTATATGGCTTGCTTCATTTATTTCCCTTCTCCCAAAGGTTGTAGTACTGTGATACTTATCATCCAGTATCTGAGAACTGTTCTTTCATGTATTTTGTCTAGTTTCTTGATGTTTAATGGGAAAGAATAAATCTGATCCCTGTTCTTCCTTTTTGCTAGAATGTATCATGAATAAGGTTCTTTGGGAGAAACATTGGTTATTAGCAATTTTAGGAATGTTAATTTGACAACATGTTCAAAGAGAGAGACCTTTGAAAGAAGATGTAGTAGAAAATAATTTCAATTAATGAAATCATTAGGTGGTAAAGCATGAGATTAAAATGACAGGAATGACAATGAAGGAACATATCTAAAAATATCTGAAGGAAAAGTGGGCAGAATTTGGGAATGGCTTGGTATGTAGGATATGGGTGAAAAAGAAATCAAAGGTGACTTTAACACCATGAAATTAATGGAAGGATGGCACAATTAAAAGAAAAAGGGTAAATAGTATTAAATTACACTGACTCATTTGTGTTCTTTTATTTTATATTCCATAGGAAATGGTGACAGAAATGTATTCTGGCTCATGTGTAGCAATGGAGATTCAACAGACTAATCCTACCAAGACATTTCGAGAATTCTGTGGACCTGCTGATCCTGTAAGTTATTATTCAAACTATTATTGTAGTTTGTGTTATGCACAACTGTCTTAACAGGTTTATATTTTTTGTTCTTGAAGATAAATAGTATAAAAATGGATATACACAAAAATGATCTGAAAGCCTAACAGAATGATCTGTTAGCCTAACAGAAGCAAACTCCTTCTATCATTAATCTATAATCATTCTACTTCTCAGTTTTCTTTTTTTTTGGTACCAGGGATCAAACTCGGGTCCTTGCGCTTGCGCAGCAGGGAGCGAAGCCGCTGAGCTAAATCCCCAGCCCTTCTCAGCTTTCTTCCACAGGCACACTCACTGACTGACACCCAGAAGAGAGCACCTGTGCCAGCCTTATCTCTAATATAGTCTATTGCTTTTTCCAGGGCCTTTGGGCCACTTTTGTTAGTTTGTTTTTGCATTACTGGAGATTCAACCCTGGGCCTTCACCCCGAGCTGCAACTCCCGACCTTTTGTAGTTTTTATTTTGAGACACAGTCTCTCAGAGTTCTGGGATTACAGGAATGCCTCACCATGCCTGGCTCTCTGGGTCTCTTGATTCTCTTTCACAGTTCACTTTAACTTGAATAAGACCTCCAGGTTTGGGAGTCAAGGCCCTTCCCTTTTGATACTACTATCACTTCCTAACTTCCTACTCTGTTCTACCTAGATTCCACTATTACCTCTTTCATCACACTTTTATGACATTCTCAGCTATTGTTGTTGTTGCTGGGATTGAACCTAGGGCTTTTGCACTGAGCTACATCTTCAGCCTCTTTTTATTTTTCGTTTTGAGACAGGGTCTCACTAAGCTGCGTAATTGCCCAGACTGGGCTTGAACTTGCTATCCTCCTGCCCTGACCTCTCAGTGTTGGAATTACAGGCATGTGCTACCATGTGTCCCTGTCATTCTTTTTACCCTTATTCTTTGAGGACACCTTGATGACTCAAACTTTAGATAAATTTAACCACCTACCACATTCCTATGCACAGACTGAAAGGTTCTACTAAATGAAAGGTACACTTCAGTATAGATTCATATTGATACAAGTTATAATCTCTCATCAAAGCTGGGCCAGTACTGCCACCCAGAAATCTTTTAAAAAATTCTTCTATTTTTCTCTTTCTACTAATTTTCACAATGACTATTTTATCTCCTCATTATCTTCTTTAAGCTGTTTACAGTGGCTTCATCATTTTTCCACAGAAAAGATGGCATCATCTCCTACTTCATAGAGAAAATTAAGCATGATTTCCCAACTTTCTGCTTTCACACAATGTATGTATTTGTAAATTCACACTCACCTTCTCTCTCAAGTCCCAGAAGAATGTATTTTCCTTCTCTGATAAGATTTTCCACCTATTCTTTGTTTTCCTCTCTTTCCTTCAAGGCTTTGCACTGTTTTCTGGAATTTGGTTTTTAAAGTAATTTTTTTGTGGTTATAAATAGTAATATATGACTATTAAAGAAAAAGTAGAAATTAAATAGTTTGATAAAGAAAATGTGGATCATTATCCCTTTAGCCAAAGTTTCTAATGTTATAAACTAATTGAGATCAATCAGTATGCACAGATTTAAAGAGGATCATACTGAGCATTTTTCATGTCATTCAAAATCCTTCAAAAACATAATTGTATTAGACTTTTATATAGTGTTTTATGTTAGAAAATAATTTGACATTTTCTCAATAATTAGGAATTATGTGTGTAATTTTTCATATTTATAACCAAATTACACTGAACATTCTTCCATATACTGTATTTTGTGCAACTGATTGTTTCCTTAGAAAAGATTCCCAGAAATAGTTAAGAGGTTAAGTGCTTAAGAGATTAATGCTTTTTCTCAGGAGTTCTTACTGTTGCAGGGATGGATTAGTTACTAGGTGAACCAGTTGTTATGAAGTGAGTTAAAAGGTATAAATAGCTCAAAGCTCTATTTTCCAGAAAGCTTGTTCCAGTTTACATCCCTGCCAATAATGAGTATATAGTTTTTAATACTGTATTAAGGGTTATTAAACTAAAATATGTCTCAATTAGTAGGTGCAATGGTTATTTCATTGTTTTACTATTATTTGTAACAGTTTACTTTCTTCACATTTATTGCCTAGTTATATGTTTTTCTTTGTAAATTGTATGATTAATGTATTTTAATCCATTCTACTCTTTTCAAGTCATTTTATGCATTCTTTCTGTACACTTCATATATTTCCACAGTTTAATTTTTAATTGAGCTTACATAGAGAAGATTCCAATACATAGATGAGTTTATTAGTGTTTTAACTTTTGGTTGCTGCTGTGATCTAAATATGGTTTGTCCACGTGACACTGATGTTGGCATCTGACTGCCAATGTGGTACTGTTGGGAAGTGATAGCATTAAAAGGTCATTAGATGGTTAAGAGGGATTAATGCTTTTTTTCAGGAGTTCTTACTGTCACAAGGATGGATTAGTTTCTTAGGAGAACCAGTTGTTATGAAGTGAGGCTGCCTCTTGTGTTTTTCTCTTGCATGTACTCACTTGCCTTCTGGCTTATGAAGGAGAATGTGGCCTACACTAGTGCCTGAAGGCTGCCTGGTCTTGGACTTACCAGCCTCCAGAACCTTGAGCTGAATAAAGTTCTTCTTTATTAATTACTCAGTCCACAGTATTCTGTCATAGCAGCAGAAAATACATTAGGACAGTTACTTTTGTGAAAGTTTTAATGATACTTCCTCATTGAAAAAATGTATTTTTTTCTTCTAATTATTTTGCAATTTAATTTTTTATCTAATTATTTTAATACATTTAAGTCCTCCTGCTTCAGCCTCCCAGAATGCTGGATTACAGGGATTACAGGTGTTAAACACTGTAATTATTTTAATACATTTAAATTTTTTGTTGTTGCTTGTAGCCCAAGGTGAAGATTTGATTCCCTCACTTTCCTAAGTGTTACCTATTATCATAGAATCACTTATTAAATGCTTTCTTTCCTATTCATTTGTGATATCTTACTTCTAGGTTGTGAAGTTACATTGATCTGTATATCAAATCTTGTGCCAATTTTATGTAAGTTTAATTAGTGTAGCTTTATATTAGGTTTTCCATAATTTGATTACTGTATGCCTGGCTATGAGTCTTTTTGTACTTATTCTACTTGGCATTCAGTGAAACTCCTGTATCTTTAGATGGTGTTTTTGATCAAATTTAAAAAACAAGTTCAGGTAATATTTCTTTAAAATTTTATACTTCCTACATTTTCCTCTATTGGGATTCTGATTTCATATGTATTTGACCATTTGATAAAGGCCATTGGAGTTCTGTACGTTTTAAAAAATCTTTTTTTTCTTTGTTCTTTAGTTTGGATGATTTCTATTTGCTTATCTTCAGAATTATGGAATATTTCTTCTCTTTCATTCAGTTTTCATCAGATAGAACAAAAGCTTTAATTTGATGTTTTTTACAGTTAATATAATTTTCCTTAAATTCCCCTTCTCTCTGCTCACTTTTCCTGCCCTACACGTCTATTGATAACTATCAACATCCTATTAATACTCGCTTTGGGGTTACAAATAAATTTTAGTGATTAGGGAAATTTGCAAAGATAGAACCCATAAAGAATGAGGGTTGACTTTAGTTTCTATGTTTTTAATGAGTTTGATGAATTTTATAAAGAAAAATAATTGGTACAGTAAATAGCAATACCTTTTAAATAAAATATCCTGACTAAAGAAAATATTTCTCTTGAAGAGTACATGGCTTTAGGGGGTTTAATACAGATAGCTTGAAAAAGGAGAAAATACATACTGAAAAAATATATTCCAAGATTATTAGTTGTCTTGAATTTCTTTGATGTTGAGAGCTTAACTTCAAAACTTGTCAAAAGAAATAACTTTATCAATATAAAAAGATGAAGCAATGTGATCTAATTAGTGAGTAATAGAAAAGCAGTTAACATTCAACTACTGAATACAGGATTTTATAATAATTTTCTATAAAAATAAAAACAAAATCTTATTCAAATATATAATTGGATCAACTACATTTTCCTGAAAAGGCAGAAGTAATTCAAATTTAGATGTCTTAGGTTTGGAATTTCACATATTCTTTTCCCGTAGTGTTTAGATTTTTCAACTAAGTTAACTTAAAATGAAAATATTTTCTTTTTGGTTGTTCTAGCCATTAAGTATCAGAACTGGAGTTCTGATCACAGAATGCAACCCCACTTTCTTTTTCCCCCATTCCATTTGTGATTATATCATGATTGGGAGAGTTTGGCATTTGGGGTTTTTTTTTGCTTAAATTCTTTCATTGGTACATTTTAGGTATACAGTACATTTACATTTATCATTGGGTGCTTGTACCTGTACATGATGTATCTTGGTTCTTATTTTTTCCCCATTACCTGTGCTCCCTTCCCTATTTACACAGACTTTGTTTCCATTGAGTTTGGCATTTTGTAGTAACATGCAGTTGTTTTGATTCATTGTTTTTAGAGTGTGTTTTTTTATTCTGATGGGAGATATATATAGATAGATATTTAGATATTAAAAATATTTTCTGGAGCGTTTGGTACTAGCCAGAAGAAATATCTAAGCCACAATTTAGAACACAGTCTTCTTTAGAAGATTGCCAATGTTCCAATCCCCAGGGGCCACCAGATCTTCTGATAGAGAATTACTTTATCACATCGGTGTTTCATATTACCCTATTTAAGAATTAAGCATTGGAATACTGTCTATGTTGGCTCATATGTTTCTAAAATACAGACTTTAATCTGAAGTAGCCAATGGTAATTATAACAATATGAACAGTATATATAGAGGGCCGGGGATGTAGCTCAGTGGCACCGCACCTGTGTTGCAAGCACAGGTCCTGAGTTCAATCCCTGGGAAGGAAGGAAAGGAAGGAAGGAAGGAAGGAGGGAAGGAAGGAAAGAAGGAAAGAAAGAAAGAAAATATACAAAGAGTAGTGCATGCCAGGGATTTAGCTCAGTGAGTCCAGCACCTGCCTCACAAGCACAAGGT